AGGGAGAGGATCTTTCACGTTGAACAAGTTCTTAATTTTAAAGGTAGAATAAACAAATTTGATGTCGATGGGTTTGCAGAATCGATTGATTAGCTTGCGCACCCTTTGTTGTGCAACACCCGAAAAATGCCCGATGTAGGGGATCTTGAAATAGTGCTTGGGCAACTCCTGTTTCTCGACACCTGTTGAAGGTCGTGTGTCGTTCCCTACTACTGCTCTCGTGACATAACGGTGGAGTAACACGTCTAATACATGATCGGGATAGAGATTTTTGCGTAGAGATTTTTCCCCTTCATTTAATACCTCAGTCTCGATGGCACTTGTCAATTAACAGCAACAACAACAACAACAACAACAAAAACAAAAACAAAAACAACAACGAGAGCACGACAAGCAAACAAAGAGATAGCGTGTATGTCTTGCTTTTATTGGATAGTTCTTTGCACTGAAACGCTATTTTTCAAAATCGCGGCAAATTTAAATGTCTGGTCTTTCTTCATTTTGTTCCATGAGCATACAATGCATTATTATCACTTTTTGCATTAAAAACTAAATATACGTTTGCGTTATAATTTCTGTAAAAATATTAAATATCTGTTAAACAGCTCAGGTCACTGAAAGCAAATTGTTCGTGATTGTCTCTAAAATACCCGCATCCACAGAAGTCGTTCATGGTCTTCGTGTCATTGTCATCCAGTAGCTCCGACAGCGCTTCAATGTAATGCGTCGCCAATCTAAGAGTTTCAATTTGGGTTAGCTTGCCTTCTGGGCCTTTCCCTGACAAATAATCTGGTATAACGCTGCGGAGCACATCAAAAGCGCTATTCAACCGTCCTTGTCTTTCGCGCTCTCTCGCGTTTCGTCGAAGCTGTCTATATCGCTTCACTGGTGCCGGTACGGTAACCTTCGGCCTCCTTCCGACATGTTTTCGCGTTTCTTCGGTCTTTTTCGGAGCTTGTTCGCGAAATCCCCACTGATAACGCTGCTCCTCCACGAAGGGGGTGTTTAATATTTTTTCTTGTTCTGGGGGACGAAATACAACTTGACTGACCATTACTTCCTGTTAAAAGAACAAATTATAAGATTCCTTTCAAATGAGATAAAAAATATACTGCAAATTATTTTTTTTTCTTACTAGCAAAGTTGAGCCAAATACTGTAAATGAGTATTTTTGTCCATGATCGCTGGAAATGATTTGGTACTATTTTCGTTTAGTAAGCTTCTTATTTTAACAGAGCTTAGTCGAAAGAAAAACTTGAAATAAAGAAGGTCAATTAATTTGGATTTGAAAGTGTGTCGTTCCTACAAGTTTTCGAATCTAATGTAAAATAAATACTAAGTTAAACTAAAACGAACAATAAAAACTGAACATTTTATATTTCTTTCAGAGCAGAAAGAAAAATACAAATGACTCGGACAAAGTTACATGATGTCCATGCTTTTGATTGAGAGTGCTATTTACAAGGGATGACTTGACTGTCGACAATGTTTTTTTTGTTTTCTTTTGGTGATTTCACTACGGTTTATGCTTTGTGACTGTAGTATTTTTAACCTGTTCACTAGGCGTAATACATCTTTTCATTCAGTAGACTCAATGTAGGTTTAACTTATCAAAAACGTGTTTCGCGAGTATCTTATAGAAATGATTTCATCAAAATTGCGAAAAGCACAATATGGACAACTCAAGAAAGAGAACACAAGTTTTAGTATAGTTTCAACAAAGTCTTCAGAGGAATCTGTCTTAAGAAATTTATAATATCCAATTAAAAAAAATAATAATAACAGACATAATCAAAAGTTATACGGCAAAATATAGATGTCGCACTTTCAGATAGCCGAAATTTTTCGGATTTGCTAAGCATGTAATAATAATGGTGTTGTTCTTTTTAAAAAAGCCACTTAATAACTCCACCGAATCAGGGCACCTCTTTCAGCCGAACTCAGTACAAAAACGATTGCCAGTCAATGAGCGTAAAATTTTAAATATGCGTTGCCCGTGTTCTGTGGACACGTGAAAAAACTTTGCAGTTTGCATCACGTGCTGTTGTGAGTTACAGTTCTATTCATGTTTCGTTTGTACCAGTCACGTTAACGTGTATGTATTTACGTTTTGCGTTTTCGTTGCGCATCACGAGGCGTATCAAAATACGCCAGTGATTTTCCCAACAGCCACATGCCTTATCGGCTGAAATTACGATGCTCCTAGTACATGGTGAATTTAGGGATGCGAAATCAGAAGTTGATTTACAAATTATGGACTGAATCTACAGCGTGCGTCTTTTACAGCAAAAAAAGCGCATCTTTAATGGAACAGCCAAAGTTTGCTTAGTTTTGGGTTACAGGTTGATTTTAGGTAAATAAAAAAACAATTCTAGACACGCCGTCTAGCGTTGTCCGTTTGGCGTTAGCGTGGGTAGCCAGCGTGCAAAAATATTATACTTTTGACAAAATTGTTAGCTTAAGTGTCAACTGATGATTTTGGATCAGCATAATTACAGCAGTTTTTCACAGAACATTCTCTACAATCAGCATGTTCCGTGAAAAAATTCTTGGAATCTTAATATGAGAGAAAAAGGTCCAGTTCTTTTGAAAACCGAGCGAGTAACACGTTTAAAATGGTGCTAAAGCTTAAGAGTGCTTGTTAATTAAAAATTAAGGTTTAGCAAAACAAGTCTAATTCTAATCCTGAAATCGAGCCAAAATGTTTATCTTTTTTTGAAGAAATAAGAAAGAATTTCCTTCTTACCTTGTGAGCTTTATAATGTTAAAGTCTTCTAATGTTGCTGTATTTTTGTTTTTACGCCAAGTTCGCTGAAATACGTTTGCTTGGGCCTACCGCTAATGATTTGACTGCTAATGAGTTGCGATCTGTTCTTTTAAAGGCTGTGAAAACAATGTAGAAAGTTATTCCCCACTGGAGTGAATATGAACTCATTATCCTCATAAAGGGGCGCTAATTAATGCACAGGGGGGAACAGCACAACAAAAACGGGGGAATTTCGAGAAGTAATTGTAGTTTTGTCTGTATTAAGCGATCTTAATCGCTTCTTATCTGATCATCTGAAAAATCAAAACTGCGCGTCTTTTTCGTCGTTAATAAACAAGAAATTATTGTAATTAAGTGGAAAGTGGGATTAACTTTTTCAGTAGGTATTTGTTTTAAAGGACTGGAATAGTTTTAAAGGGCTGAAACAGAAAATAAATTAACTTAGTCACTAAAGCACTTCAACTACTGCAGAGCGCAATTTGAATTTAAAACATGACGAAGTTAAGTCCTAATAGAAATCTCCACGTGAGTTCAATGTTTCGGAAAAAATAAAAAAGAAATTTTAGAACAAATAGATTCTATTTTTTCTTATCCGAAAAAAAATGTCTAAAATCTGAGATGGATCCGTGTTCCAATTGTTAAGATTGCCTCGCACATTTCGAACTTCGTGTTTCAAACAAACTTGGAAGCACTGCCGCAACGACTGACGCGCATGCGCTACAGAACATGACATCAATCCAGGTTAGAAATTAAGAAATTGATTTCGCTTAGATTGAAACAAGCGATTTGTGAGCGGTGCAGTGGTCATTTTCCAAAAAAATACAAGCATCGAGGAAACGCTAGAGAATAATTTGAAATAACAAGACACCCGGCTCACTAAGAGACGACAGACTTCATAACGGCTGCTTTTTTTTTTTTTTTTTTTTTAATTTTAATTTCGCTCCGATCCAATTAAACAAAAACAAAAACAAAATACATACATACATACATACATACATACATACATACATAACATAACATAAGATGGCTGTTTTTAAAACGCTACACAAGTGACTTAGCCTCTGGCGCCAGTGGATTTGAATGTCTAATCTGTAGTAGCACAGTAGAGATTTTATGATGAACAATGAACAGTGCGCACAAATATTTACAGAAGCCGTAAAGAAAGTTCCTTGAACAATCACCTAGTCAAAGAGTACTTTGTGGCGGTTTGCAAAATGACAATGTGACAATGATGACACGCTCTCCCATCAAGCCTTGTCATGGGGAATAACTCATGTTTGAGGGTCGAGTGTCTCAGATTGCGAGAAAAAACGACACGTAAAGTTGAGGTTGAGTGTTCATTCGAGTTTGGGACGGGGTGTGAGCCTTTTTTAACAGTACTCCGGAACAAATCAAACGTTGGACGAATTGAAAAAAAAAAAAATCTTAAGCACATCTGCATCGCCTGATCACAACTGTAAAACAATAAACAATTATCACTTACGAGCGATAACCCCCATTTACCCATGTGCATAATATCTTTTCAGAAAACTTATCGGCAGGGTGTGGACGATGGAGTGCGATAAACACAGGCCAGGCTGACCACACATGGCCTAGAAGAGGTCTTCGGGCGATTTCCCCACCAAACAGACGGGCGTGTGAGTGAACTGGGTTTAATTTAATAAACATGATTTCTCTCAATGAGCCACATGTCCCGATAAAAGGCTTTTTGCATAATCATTTGAAATCCTTTGGAGAATGAGAGAAATCAATTGTTTTGGTTCATTATTTCGGAAGCAGTGTAAGAGTGTCGACCGCAAGTGATAGGAATACAGGATTATGAATGGAGCCTTTTGACCGCTTATTATTCGTGTCGGAGGATTCGGCGAAGACTGCACGTGTATTCAATAACGCATGAATTTAACAAACACGTCTCGATGTTTAAGGAAACTGATAAGCTGCCCTTCGTGTCAAGAGCTACGTGACCACGATGCATTTGCCTTACGCTGAAAACCAGACGAAGAAAAAAATTCTCATTTTACCATGTTTAGAAAACAAGAGCCTAGTTTGTAAAAGGTTTTATTCAAAGAGGCGTCAAATAACCTATTTCCAAAGAGTTGAATGGGGTTTCGCAATCTCGGGCAATTAATGTAAACCTTCTTACAAGTGACCGTTTCTCTTCAAGAGAAAAAAAAAAATGAATTCATTTCCCTGTCATCATGACAATAACGGGAATTGACGACCCTATGAGCAGAGGTACGATTATTTAGAAGACAAATACAAGTTCTATTTTTTAATTCTCAGGGTTCCGAGGTTGTACGAAAGGATCGTTTTGGGAGAGATCAAATTCAAAAGTTAGCAAAGCAACACAGCAAAATGGCCATCGATCGACATACTGCAAGAGTGGCTAGCGATGTAATTTAATTCATGTGTTCAGAGTTTAGGACACCTGAAACATCGTACGGTAAAATAAACGTCTCTCTGGCTAAATACAAAACGCCATTTTGCCGAGCGTTTGATGGGAAAATATTACATTTTTTCGTACCGTGGTTTGGTTACCAGGCGCTTGTCGGCAATAAAGAGGCCCTTTGTTGCCTTTGATTTAATTAGCATTTGAAATGGTTGTTTTATTTTTCTGTGAAATCGAGTTAAATCAGGGCCTTTGAATACAACGTTGCAGAATTGTGCATGCGACTTTTCCTCCATAAAGACAAAAAAATGATGAAATAAATTAACCTTCGTATCTAAACTAAAATCTCTCGCATTTACATTTTTGTGTTTATCTTGAAAGCCTCTGTGACGCTGCTTGTACACTACCTGACACTAAAATAAAAAGAACAAAAACAGAGGCAAAACGGAATTTAATACTCTTTACCGAATCTCTAATAGATATTTTTTTAACGTGTCATACGGCATTTAATCGACATCACGTGTTAGTGAAATATGGAGGAGTAACTCCAAGCCCAAAAATTTAATAACGCAAGGAGATTGCCATTATAACATTTTGTTTTATAAACATTGCTTGGGGCTTCTCCGTTTTTATGAAGAACAATGGGTTTAGTTCATATTAATTTCTCTCATAATGACTGTATAGTGATGCTCAAAAAGGGTAGATGGCTAATCCTGTCTTCTCGTTTTCACTCATCAAGTCAGCTGAGATATTCTGAGCTAACACAGATTGATATGCGCTCGCCTTCTGAATGAGGAATCGTGGCGAGAGCTGGCTCGAAGCTCCCAGAGGAGAGGATCAAAGAATGACTCATTTTTGATTAGTTTCGGCCACGAATCTAAACAATGAAGCACACAAC